ATATATATATATATATATATATATATATATATATATATATATTGTACGGGAAGGGTTTTATATTTTTTGTTCTTGAGAAGTGTGCCTGCAACTTTTCGGAAAACCCTTTTGTGTGATTTGGTTTAGCAGTTTTGCTGCTACATGCCATTTTCTTTCTGTCGACCCCTTTTCGAAAATGTATTGAAGATTATAGATTTGTTTCTAACTAAACTATGTTTTTAAAAATTACATCGTGAAGTAAAGTCAGGTTGTTTTTATTCTTTCAAAGGTTATAAGTAATTGTACTTTCCATAATACTAGTAAACACTGAAGTGTCAGAAGTCATGGGATACCTCCTAATATCGTGTCCAACCTCTTTTTGCCCGCAAAGTGCAGCAAGTCGACGTGGCATGGACTCAACAAGTTGTTGGAAGTCTCTTGCACAAATATTCAGCCATTCTGTCTCTGTAGGCGTCCATAATTGTGAAAGTGTTTGCAATGCAGAATTTGTGCACAATGTGCACGATATTCTTCAAACCAATCGCGAACAATTGTGGCCCAGTGATATGGCACAATGTCATCCATAAAAAATTCATCGTTTGGTAACATGAAGTCCATGAATAGCTGAAAATTGTCTCCAAGTAGCTTATCGTAATTTCTAGTCAATGATCGGTTCAGTTGGACCAGAGAACTCGCCAGGGTTTTCTAGTTTAGGGTGCTATCGATATTGTCACGTCACGGTGGTTATATTAAATACAAAATCAACCCCGCTACGGTCTGCCTATGATTGCCGTAGAGTCTGTCTTTTACTTGTGGGAATTCGTTGGGTCGCCAGCTAGCTCAGAAATTTGACGGGATACCGTTTTTCGGTTGAATGGAAGGAAGGGTTGTTAGAATCAGAAAGAAAGGCATTTCCTCCAGTTAGAATTAAAACACAAACTTTAATCTACTGATTTGAAGTAACAAAAATTATCCACTTTTCTGGTAGCTCACAAACGTAAGTGTCATTGAAATGAAGCGAACAGACGAACATCTTATAACTACGTTGTCGAATTACACGAATAAAGAATTTAAATGACCAAAGCGCAACCACGCCAAGTTATACTAAGATTACTGTTATACATTTTATTGCTCACTCAGGATTATTCAAGTCTTTTATTTCCGTGAGTTGCTTGAAGAGCATAAGATCCATAGCATGGTTTAAAATGCGACGTCACCGTGATCTTTGTAGCGGCGCGTTCCATTTATGTGGATCCAGGCGTCCGTCGGCCCACCAGCTGGTTTCCACCAGGAAAGGGGCGAGTCTACGGCTCGGCGCCCCTCCAGACTCGCAAGGCTGTGGCGATCGGACCGGCGCAAGTCATTCACCGCTGGTTGCGGTGCGCAGATGGCTGCAGGACAACGCACTTCCACACGGCTCGCCAGGGACGTATTGCGAATAATCTGTCGTTAACCGAGTGTGGCAGGCTTTGAAATTTCACGGAACCTTACGATAACATAATACGACGCACCTCACAAAGTTCCACAGGTGGGTGCGACGAGTACGTACGACTCGAGCGCTTGTCTACCCATTTTCATTAAATACACTCAGTCTATCACGCATTTGCACGCTATCTCCTCGCCAGCCTTCCTCATCGCTCTCACCTGTTCGTCACAACTTCAGTAAAACAACTGCTGTGCGCGAACACGATCACACTCACATCTAATATATTTTCAAAAGTCCCGTAAAACAAACGAAATTACGTTTTACTGCACGCGGATGCGGTCACGGGCTCCGCGAACCGTTGGGCTCCGTAGGTCAAAGTAAACTTTTGTGCCGGTCTCCTAGTCAACTCTCTCTAGGCTTCTGCAATCCCTCGTTCTCTCCACACTCGAAATTACACGCCTTAAGTGGCCGAAATCAATTGTGCATGAAAATTCTCAGCCAGTCCCAGATTCTCGAATGTTCTGAAAATAACGCTCTGTCTCAGAATAGCTGATGCGAGCGGCGAACGTGCAGCTGCAGGGCTGGTTAAACAGGAGCGGGCTTGTTCATTTATGTGGAGTAATCTCTGGCTGTCGCAGCTGGGCCTTCCCTTCGTCGTAATACTGTACACATCCTGGCCGGGGGGTCGGGGGGTGTTGGCACATTGACCGCCAAATAGTTTCAAATTTGGCGCGTCGTTACGAATAATGCACTTTTGATGTTCTTTGAAGGCGTTTCAGAGGAAAGGATCATACATTTCAAACTTCCCGCGTAGCCTTATTTAATAAAAAAAGCCTCCCGAATTTCTTCCTAGTTGACCAAATACTCACTTCTTTCGTACAAAGTTCTTCACGTAGATTGTCAACTGCTTCCTATTCGGAGCGTTGCCGAAAGATCGCATCAGCTTCTGGGCAGCTCCTGGTGCAAAATCATGCGTGACATTGTCAATGTTCTGATAATCCAGAGATTTCCATTGTAGACGCCGCGAGCTCGCATTGCCATGAGAGGCGAAGTGCAGCAAGCTTAGTAAAACGTGTTGGACGCTTTCAATGTTGGATTCAGGGCGTGCCAGGCACTGGATGCAGTCGTATCGTGAAGTAAAAACGACGAAATTTGTAAAGCAACTTTTGATTTCGTCTGGACAGGGGTAACCATGTAATCTCTTCAATGCTCGATTCTTTCTCTAAGATTCAATCTTTGTCAATTGTGTGTCGTTTCTTTTCCAGAACACTCTAGTCTGATGAAAAACTATCGATAGAAGAGGTGATGTTTCGTTGTAGCTTCTACTAATGAATGAAACCAACGTATCTTACGATTATTTCACACTCAACATGGGGTGTGGGCTAGGAGAGGTGTAGATGCCGTCGGTCCGTAAACAAATAGAAAGACGCTGGCCGAGGGGCGAGGGGGGTATCCCGAGTCTGACAGCTGCACTCTTAGCTCACAAAGGAACTACGCGTTGCGTTGACTTGCGTAATCTCAAAAGAAAGTATCAAAATTTGACTTTATTTTATGAGATTGTTCCCGCAAATAACCGCCGCTTTATGGTCACAAGCCCAGTAGTGGCGCTTCAAGGGATGTGTTGTTTGCTAAGTCACTTTGGACTAAGCACATTGTTAGCAAAGAGTCTTGGATCGGTCTTCTGTTGCCATAGCTCATTAAAGCCAAATTTCGTCGCACCGTCCTAACAGATTCGTTTGTCGCACGCCCCACATTAATTTTTGCTCTTTCACGCCGCAAGGTTACTCGTGTGTTAGCGCGGACAACTTCACAAACGCCGCTGTTCTCTGTCGTTAAGTGAATGCCGTCGACCACTACGTTGTCGGTGCTGAGAGGATATGCCTGAAATTAGGTATTCTCGGCACTCTCTTGACATTGTAGATTTCGGAATATTGAATTCCCTAACGATTTCCGAAATGGAATGCCCCATAGCATCTAGAAGCTTCGTCAACCATTCCACGTTCAGAGTCCGTTAATTGCCGTATTACGGCCACAATCACGTCAGAAACATTTTCACATGATCACTTGAGTACAAATGAAAGCTCTATCGTTGCGTTTATACCTTTTGTACGCGATAGTACTGACGTCTGTATATTTGCATATCCGATGACTTCAGTGTACCTTGACCTCAGTGTATGTACATGCAGTGAGAGAGATCCTGACGGTCGTAAGCATACTTGCATTGTTTTATGTTTCATTTTGATGTTTTGTTACACGACTGTAATTAAGTAAAATTCGTTGCTTGTTTGTATTTTTTTTGTTCATTCAAAAGAATTGACAATCAAGTTTTCTTTCATTCTTTTAGGTTCCAGAGGATTATGTTTCCAAGGAGATTTTTGATGCTGTGAGTGTTTATATTATTCCCAAAACTCAACTTCAGAGAAGTATTCTTACCGTGTAAGTTATTCTTTTTACCCAGTGTGTAATGTATGTAGAATTTTATTTAGTGTGTACAGGGCAACATGGTACTTGCTGTCAACATGTGTTTACATTTTAACATAGTGAGGCTTGCTATTATATAATATAATTAGGATCAACTTTTTACTTTTTGAGACAGTGTAGCTAGATGTGCACCTGTTACGGGATATCGCAATATAAACCATGTTAGTGTGGGTAATCAGTTTTTGAAGATCATTTTCTGCATTATAAAAATGAAATACGAAGCATTTATATTGGTTGTTGATAGAAAAATAGGATTGTGTGCTTTTAATACTAAACATAATTCACTTACAATATAATGTATTAGTTCTGTAAAAATGCAACCAACTAGTTGGCATTCCAACTAGCTTAGATCCTGCGTGATACCTTGCTTCAGAGGAATGGAATTGAGCGTTGTTAAAAATTAACAAAACATTTATTTCAGTTAGTCATTGAAACAATTTTAATCTAATTACGGGAAGATACCAAAATTATGAATTTCTATAAGCACATTATCTGGGTTAGCATTAAAATAAATTTATAACTACGCTGTTGATTTAGTCTAAAGAAGTTAGAGCCAAAGCTATGTCTTACATAAATTGTTCCCACATTTTCCTGTTCATTTAGGAGTGACCAAGAGTCTTGTTTCCTTAAGTAACTTGAAGAGCTGTTTATTAAACCTTTGCATGGTTTGATACCTAAAGATTAAGATACCATATTCATGGGCGGCGGCGAGGTGCAGTGCTGCGGCGGCGGGCAGCCGTTTACCCGTCGGGTGTTTTCCACTGGGGGGAGACAGGTGTGGGTTCCGCGGCTCACAGACAATAAGGCTAGGGTGGCCTCTTGACAGAGTCCCAGCAACGTTGGCCATTCACTGCAGACAGCGGTCGATTCCAGATCCACACCACACGTCACACCAAAGTCATTATTGCACTCCACATCGATCTGTCTTTCATTGAGGTGGAAGATTTTGAATAATTCACGGAACTTCGTTTCTGGTGGCATAAATCAACACGCCTGGCAATCGAAATTAGAACAAGTGGGTGCTTAATCGCGACTCACGCACCTGGCGACCCGGCTTTATCGTGACCGTTAAACTTGTACGCCACAGCGCGTCCCGAGCTCCGATTGGTGAAGCGATCTCTACTCAAGTCCAAAATCAAGTCGCTCAAAACAATAGCGCACGAGGACACGACCTCACGCTCGCTTTTGCTTGACTGAAGACCCATCTCCTATTCGGTTAAAAACCACAAGTCCCGAATAGCACAATCACTCTAGGCACGAACGCGATCTTTCTCTTCGCGATCCGCTCAATTCGACAGTCGTCTCCGATCCTCTCTTTTCGCGCCTGTCCTCCCTTTCCAAGTGTCTAGTTCCTTGTTCTCCCTACCCTTTAGATTACGTGCTGTGAATGGTCAAAACCAATTGTACATTTGTTTTCTTGGCCAATCACTGCAGGCGTCTAGATATTGGAGTGGAAATTTTTCTAGTGCCCTCTCTGTCGCTCCGAAAATGCTGATGCAAGCCTCTGCAGCTGAGTGCTGAGTTCGACGCAGGTGGGCCTATTTATTCATCCAGAGGGAGCGGCGGGGTGCAGCATATTCCCTTGGGCCGGAGGGGGTGGGCCTTTTACTTGACTCGCCCTTCAAATCAATCAATTGCCGTTTCGTGGGAACACCTCTCACGACGCGTTCGGCGCCCTACGGTTCTTGATCGGTTTTCAAGCCCTCAACACTGGAATGGTGTAGCGAAATTCCATTGTAAATGGAGAGTGTACGCCGCCAACGCAGCTAGTTGGTGGATGGCGAACATGCAGTCAGAGCCCCGTCTCGTTACTTTTAAATAGTTTCATACATTCTTGAGTGTTTTATTAATGCAAAATCAACTTCGGTTTTCGTATCAATTTTTAGCATAAAGACAATCATAATTATGCAAATTTTAATTGTATGCTGGTGTTATTGTTCGTTTGGAGGCATCCATTCTCTATGTGTTAGAAATGAATGATCTTTTTCTCCTTTTTCAGAAATGTCTTGGATTACAAAATTACTGGTTATCCCGTGCGTATAGATAACACAAAATATGCCAGAAATGCCTATTACTTTAATTTATGTTTTGTGTGTGACGCATGGGCAAGGACAGTGCAGTATGAACCTGTTGTAAAGAAGCTTTCAGAATATTTGGTAAGTTTATTTTGCTTACAATATATTTTATGAGTAATGATGAAACATCGATAAAATACATACAGTTTCCTTATTAACCCAAGTACTCGAAAAACATCCGGGAAAGTGATAATTGATCCGGAAATTTACTTTTCATAGCTGAAACATCCAATAACATGCAAGCAATGCGTGCAACTACATACGTAGTATAGAGAAGGCATTTTAATGCTGCGGCCAAAAAATTCAGAAAAACTCGTGTTATGAACTCCTGGTATAGAGCTCCTGACGCTAGGGCCTAAACCGTGATCGACGTGGCCGAACTCAAGGGCCTGTGACTTTGAAGTTGATATTTTGATTTTTGGGAGTTCATTTAACATTCGCTGAGTGTTCTCAAACTTTGCTCAAAATGTTTGGATGAAATTTTTTTTCTTGCATAGGACATTAAACAAATGGCGGAGGTATCACTTTCGTTGAACTCTGCATTTTCTAAAATTGCAAACGTTTTTCAGCATCTTCCTACAACTACAATACTTTGTTTCCTTAATAAAATTTGTCCTTGAACGACGTATTTAAATAACTCTTACACTTTTTTGAAAATATTAGTCTTTTCGCGAAATTTTATATGAAACATAGGACTTTTTAAAAAAAATATTTAATCAAGAATGGCTCCAATTTTTTCCATGAATAAAGCAAAGTATACTTAAAAAATGGTAGTCCCATTATCGTCGAACTTTTTTTTTCGAAAACTACAAAAAATTACAATATCGAAGCCACAATTCTCCAATGTCTATCTAAGTCTAGCGGAGGTATGTTTAAAAAAAGAAACTTCCTTCGACCACGCACTCGAGGTAAAAATGTGATAAATAAATATCAAATACACTACTGCATTTAACAAATGCAGCAGAGAAACCTCCGTGTATGAACGTGCAAAGATTCGAATAATGCATCACAATGTGCAATCTCTTTCAAATAAAATTGAATTTATCGAAGCAACATTACAGGGTGATCTAGGTCAAATATGTGTTTTTTACTTTACAGACATTGGTTATCTCATAATGATCTAAACACGCTTCAAATTCCTAGTCTTTACCTTGCAGGACCGTATTGAAGAAAGAGGGAATCAAATGAGGGCCTTGCTTACTTAAGTTCGTGTATTTACGTAAGATACGATATTAATTCTACCTTCTTGTCAGAATTCAATTTATATGCGATTGAAAAAGTTTTTTAAGTAAGTCTTACATCTTAATACGATCATAATCATCTTACTTTGCATATATGAAGCGAGCTTTAGATTATTTGATTTTCTTATAAAATCTAGAGAAAACTGAACCAAATTAATAAACGCTCTTTTAAATCTATTGTATGTGAAGATTTCAACAGTAATTTTCTGCATGGATCTCACGAAAAAGAGCAGTTTTTGAATTTACTTCATTCTTTTAATTTAGATATTAGTGTGGTAGTCCGGTGTCTTCGGGATTTATAATCTGCCTTGTCCAGTGTCATTCAGCAAGTTGCTGCAACTTCTACTAAGCTACTACTGCTAGTAATAATAATAATAATAATAATAATAATAATAATAATAATAATAATAATAATATTACCGTGAATGTCTTCCCTAATACATTTCAATTACAAAAAGGAAAATATCAAATTATAATTAACAAAACCACAACTAGATATGAAATAATAACAAATAATCTAGGTTTCAGTGACCACGATGCACAAATCCTTACAATTACTAATATCATGAACACTGACAAAATAAAGAATACACGCATGTGCAGAGCATTCACTAAAAGTAACATAAAATTATTTACGAACTACTTGCTGAAGGAATCATGGGACGTAGTTTATAACGCTGACAAAAATGAAAATATAATTTATTTTTCTAATTGCTTTCATTTCACTTCACTTCACTTGAACGCGTACTTTCCTCTTAAAAGGAGAAAATTAAAAAGTTCATGGAAGAGTAATATTTGGATCACACAAGGAATTAGAACATCGTGTAAAAACAAACGTACGCTTTACTTTATTCCTAAACATCAAAACGTATCGCTCGGTTTCCATATCTACTTCCGAGAATACAAAAGATTTTTAAGGAATGTCTTCCCTTGCAGGAAGGTAAAACTAATGAGGATATTTTGAACGCTAGTAAGAAAACTAAATCAATATGGAATATTGTAAAGAAATACGACCACATCGTCTCGACATTTTGTAGAGAATGTTATTTTAAAAGGTAATAAAGAGAAGAAAGCAATCCGGAAAAAGTGGCGGTCTTAAAGATGGTGCTTTATCAATGGACCAAAATGAAGCATCCATGGGAATATTTTAGAACGCTTAAGGAAAGCTTTTGACATTATTGACCATGACATCCTACTCTCAAAATTACCTTAAATGGAATTCGTGGTATTGCCTTAGACTGTATAATCTCGTACCTTTAACCATCGATCTCCAAAAGTAGAAATGCGATACTGGCACGAAAGGACTTTATTACTTATATTTCCAATTCTCAGCCAATTGAGCATGGGGTCCCGCAAGGTTCGATTTTAGATCCAGTCGTCTGTCTGTTATACGTAAACGATATGCCAGCCTCTATTAAAAACGGAAGAACAGTTCTGTTTGCCGATGACACGAATATTCTTTGCAGAAAAGAAACAATAAATACTAGAATTTTAGAAGTTTCAAATTGGTTTCGTAATAACAAACTAATATTTAACGAAGGAAAAACTGTTTCAATGCCGTTTTGCATTTCAAATCGGCAGTCGCACGCTCTATTGAAAATGAACAATGTGCAATTAGTTGATGTTAACCCTTAACTGGTCTGGTGAAAAAGAATTACTCTCCCTGAGTAGTGGGGTTCGGGTAGACACCATTTTATAAAATGAAATTTCATTAAGAACTTGAAATTTTATTTACAAAATATTTCGTATATGATCTTTTACATTGTAATGGGTAATGTTTGGGACATTTAAATACAATTTTCGGAAATAGATTTTCCCTGACTTGTGCAAATATGTTTGGCGCAGTGGATGTATTCAATTTTTGTTTTCCTATCCGCTGTTCCCGGGCACACCTCACATCTGTCTTTTCGTGCTCGAGTGTGTACCTGAAGGTTCTTGTCATAGAAAAACAAATCTGGAGAAAACACATAAATAAGACACAGGAGTGAAAAATCAGAAATATTGAAATTTACTGACACTCCTTGCTTTGTGGGGTCCACACAGGCATGTTATTTTGGACAAAAAGCACATACGATCTGCTGGGGATATTGAACGAGGCCACTGCGCAATATATCGGTGCTTTTACTTACTAACTTGTGTTGCATTGCCAGATGACATTAAACAATTGAATCGGTTTACAAATTTAAGTTAAAAGTAAAATCTTTTCTGCTGCATAACTTTCTATGCAATTAGAGACAATACTAATTATCAAAAATGAAAATAATGTTTATTTTAACAAAACTGATATATTAAATCAACTTACATTTGTATTGTATATTTTTTTTAAAAAGACTTAATATGTTTGTAACAAATAATGTTCTTCAGCTTCCGGGCCAATGACCCCCCATCTCGATCAAGTGTTTAGTTTCTTTGATCCATTGAGAAAATGCTCAGGTGGCCCTTTGTTTTGCTCTGGACAAATGTAGCTTCAATATGTTTTGTTGAACTATCCTTTTGCTTGTAGCTGTGATAATAGTAGGCATAGAGCTGGGGGTAAGTTGCTATTTTGTTGGCTGTGCAGAGGAATCAAATCTGCTGTTCGTTCGCCGATGCAAATAGGTTTTCTATATCTCCGGGACGAAAATGTCTAGTTTTATACTAATTTTGCTAACTATTGCTTTTTTAAATATTATTATTTAATTTTTTTTAGAAATTTTATTCATCTTTCAACTATTTATAGTTAAAATGTTGGGAAGGGGTTCTGGATCTCAAGAAAACGTGCATTGTTGATTTTTTCCCCCATAGGTCAAATACTTTTTACTTTTTTTTAGTAAATGGTTAGTAATTTTAGTAAAAGGGTCAGCTCACGTTTTCAACCCCAAAGGAAAGTAAATGGAGAGAACAAAACTGATCGAAGTGGATTCTTTTGCAGATTCTGCTATAAGGCAAAAAATTCGTTATTTTTTCACTGTAAAAGAGGAATGTCTTACTATTAGAGGCGTGTTTTATTATTATTATTATTATTATTATTATTATTATTATTAGAGGAAAGTAATTAACAGCACTGAACGAAAATTTATCGACTGTGGCAGAGAATTCTTTAGAATGCGATTATGGGAGCATGGTGTCAAGTGGAAAAGGTACCAGTCCAATAGAAAGCTCCTTATCAAACGCTCCGGTATTGTAGCATGGAGTATGCGTTACACGAAAATCGCAATTGTTGGGAAGAAAGGTTTTATATTGTCCGTTTCGACCAAACATACATGCAGGCATCACATAGTGCAACGTGTTGGCAGTTCGCGGTAGAACTTACAGTTATAAGCAGAGTTGGTAAAGGACAAAGATGAATTATTGTTCATGGCGGAGTTGGAGACGGGTTTGTCGATGATCCCTTGTTTATATTCTCGTCGGAAAACAAAACATGATATTATTACTCGTCATTGAATGCAGAAACTTTCACCAAGTGACTGAAAGCGTTATTGATAAGAATGCCCCGTGTCTATTGCGGTAATGGACACCGCAAAGTACCATTGACGGAATTTTAAATTGACAGAAAACCAAACTGATTTTTTTAAAAAAAGATACAGTAGAGTGGTTCATCAAGGAGCTGCTTTTGATCCATCACTCACTAAAGCCCAATTATTACAAATAATTCGATGTACAGACACTGAAATACGATATGTCGTTGATCGGATTCCTGTCTGATCTAAATCCAATAGAACTTCTTTCCACCTTTTAGTCTGTCTGAATTATGATTTCGCGAAGTGTTAGGGTCCACATTTTTTGACAGACGATTTTTTGTAACATTCATTTATTTCATAATCGTTCAACGGCTTCGGGGATTGTTGTCCCCATCAACAGGCTGTAAAATTGAATGTTGAAGTTATATAGTACAAAATTTAAAATTATTTTCCATACAATATTGAAATGGAGAAATTATAACGGGAAAGAACTTGCCAGGCACATGAGAGCTCACAAAACAGCTGGTTTTTACTTTAACATTATTCTATGAACTTAATTTTGTATGTCTAGTGACGGTTAGCTGTAGAATAATGTTAATGTAAAAACGTCTGTTTTGTGTGCTCTCATGTGTCTGGTAAGTTCTTTCCTGTCGTAATTTATCCGTTTTAATATTATCGTAAATAATTTTAAATTGTGTACTATAAAGTGTGTCCGTGGAGAAAACGTCCAAATTTCGAAAATAAACTCTTAAGACAATTTTCAGCCTATTTTGTCTAATAAACTATTTGGATGTTCCGAATGGCTATACCGCTATAATCACTGAAACGTTGGTTTGAAAAAAAAAGCTTTCTATACAAAAATTTGTTTTGCAGAAGAGTACAAACTCTCCTGCAACCTGGGTACTTTTTCATTTCTGTGTTCCTTTTTCTTTCTGAACAAATATATTCATTTCTTTTGAAAATAATTAACAATTTACATGTTTCTGAAGTGTTTCTATGCTTCTGCAATCCAAATTTTTGCGTAGAAAGCAGTTTTTCAAACCAACTTTTGAGTGCTAATTAAAATTGTCTTAAGAGCTTATCCGCGAAGATTTGACGTTTCCTCCCCGGACACCTGTATAATTTCAACATTCAATTTTACAGCCTGATGATGGGGACAACAATCCCCGAAACCGTTGCACGGTTATGAAATAAATTAATATTACAAAAGTTCAACTGTCAAAAAATATGGACCCTAATCCTCCACAAAACCCAATAGAATTTATTTGGGAATTTACAAAAGGGTGTGTGGCAGCGGAAACAATCGGCGCATCCTTAACAGAAAAGGAAACGTTTTGGAATTATACATTATGGTTCTGATGCTGCAGCGGAGGATAATTAAGTAAACGGGTTATACGAAAAACGTCTGCAGCGAATCGGATACATTTCAGCGACATCACGCAGTGTATGGAGGAACTTATCTCGACATTTTTTCGGCCAATAACGACCTACACTTGCACTTACTTGGCACTTGGCCCATATACTTACTTGAACAACGCCTTCCACGCTTCAGTGTGCGTGAGTGAGTGTAGATTGCGTTTAGTTGACACATGAAGTATGGTGTCCTTTGGTCGCAAAAGCCTTAAAAGGTTCTCCCATAGACCGCGTATGTCGCTGAAGCTAAGCGTGTACAATTAGCTGCTGACACTTTTCACACCGTCTCTTTCTTAGAGACTTCACGATTGTCTCCAAAACTTTGATCTGGTGTGTGAGCTGTCTCCACCTCTGGACGTTCTTTCGAATGATCGAGTCAACATCTTTCTAGCGCTCCTTTTGTCCTGACCCCCGTATCTTCCACGTTTCACTTCCGCATCTCACTACACCCTCGTTCACCACAATTCATCAAGACGCCCCTTTGCCTCTCCCCGCTGCGACCTCGACAACCGCCGTCCACCCGGCGGCGCTCTGCGATGTATCCGTACTTGAATTTCTTGGACTCTGCTCTGCGCCGTGCCCACACCTTGTCCCCGTCCAATTACATTGTTTTGTTTGCAATATTTGTAAATGTACCAATGATTCTTAAGTGCGCTGTTTGTTTTTTGGTACAATGATATGCCACACATTGTTTTCATTCTGTGTGTTTTATTTCGACAGATGATGATGGAACAAGAATCTGGATTTTTATCCGATGAAAATACATCCAATGAGAAGTTAAGGTTACCTTTAATCCTACAACAGATTCTACGTGATTTGAATTCCTGTGGAATGTCTACGGTGATAGGTATGATTTCTCAAAAAAGTCACGTTACACCTTTCCTTAAATAATTAAGATTTACAGCTAACCATTCAGGGTTGGCAACTTTTTACCATCTTGCCTTACACCATTTACATAGGAAAGAGAAAGTATTACAATACAACGGTGAAAATGAGTGATCTTTTGATAGGAAAATCTGTCGGACCCTGGCAACGATTCAGTGAATAAATCTTGTTTGTATATATAGTGAAGAACTCCCTCTAACACAGTACGGTGCCCCCTTGACACCGAAAAATCGATTAACGGCAAAAGTCTATCCATCCGTCCCGTTGTGATGAACGGAAACACATAAACCGTTTGGACAATTTTCTCAAATGCTGATACCTTCGATCGAACTAAACGAACTATTCTCCAGGCCTACTAGTTTGAAAGGATATTTTGATTTTGGGGGTACTTGACATGACGTCTGAAACACTTTTTCATTTTCTTTTCCAAAATTGCTCCAATTTTTTTAATTAAACTTTGTTCTTGGATAGCGTAAAGGACGCTTAAAACATGGCACAGGTTTTATTTTCATTAAAATCTCTAAATTGTCGAAAATGGCAAACGTTTCCAATAGTTTTGTCTCCTTCATACGCCTACAATAACCGAGATACAATGTTATATTCTTGAATAAAACTTTTGTTCAAATGCAGGTGTTGAAATAAGGTCAGCTGCAACTTTTCGAAAATGTTAGTATTTTTCATATCATTTATTTCAAATATGATGTCCTTAATCTTTAGGGTTTTCTTTACTAGCATTTTTTCTTAAATTCGAATGAATAACAATTTCCAATAATCAATAACAATTTTCAGGAATAGTGAATTTCCTTACTACCATCAGAAAAACCTACCACAAATTTGTAAAAAATGCAATGGAGCACAGGAGCCGATCTATAGAATGTCCCTATTAAAAAGAGAAACGAATACCGTTTCACAAACAACCTAATTTCAGGTAATAATAAAAATACATCTAGAAACAAGCCCCATCAAAATAATTTCTCATATTAAAATAATTTATTTCATACATTTCAGTAAGATATTGATAACACAATAACCCTGTGTGTATTCCGGAAATAAACTACTGACCAAAGTGATAATGCTTTAGTGTTTGTATTTTCTCATTTAATATCCACTAATTTTATTAGTATGAAAACAGAATACAAGTGTATGCATGAAGATGTAAAATATAAAGGGAATTTAAATTTAGATAAATAAAAGCTATATTCTACTATTGTGGATATGTTGCCTGGTGGCACAATATATAAACATGAAAGTATAATTACAAATTCAAGTACAAATAAAAAACAATATAAAAACAACAAACAACCTAGCACATGCAGATGACATTTACATACGTATTTTACATATATTGATGGCATTTCCAACCAAATACATATATGCTAACGTTTAAATAAATAAACATACTTACTACATTAATATACATACTAATATGCATGTGTACATACATACACCGACCTATGAACCCTCGCCTACACAATCCTATTCACTTGTAACCATATCGCCCGTAACACTCAAAACTTGTATTTATAATTGTATTTATTAGTGTGCAGTTTAGATCTTTAAACACGTTGAAATTATTTCGCCTGACGCGCCCGGAATCACTCGGGCCTCTAGAATTTGCTGTCATGAAGACTTGAACCCCAGGAGCTCCCGGTCGGAGGCAGTGCAGCGACATCAGCTGATGCCTCAGCCACCTCTCCCGGCGATCTCGGTCATGTTTTTCGTCCAGAGCCCCCGATCCTTTGAGCTGAGATCTCTCCCTGCTTTGCTTTACTTTGCATAAATGTAACTTCACTTTCTGTGCACGTCTTTCAGAGTTCAGTGGGAATTATTTTTATTCAAATCGTTATATTTTAATAATCTACTTTTTCACATTCACTTAGGCAGGAAGTCGATTCCTTCACCAAAAGGACAAAGAGGGATAGTATCCCGAATCTGCAGCTGATTTGCTTTTGCAAATAGTTTTTATTACAACCGGAGCGAATATTTTCTTATCAATTCTTGCCAAACCCGCTCATTTCCGCTGTATTCAGAATTCAATTTGAATATGGATTAGGGTAGGGAATTTAAGAAAACGTGCACAGAATACACTTCTCCCCGCAGTAGGTCACACATAATGCTTAATTGTTTTGATTAATTGAATTAATAAATAAAATACTTGGGCATGAATTATGCATTACACTGAACTGCTCCGTGTTAGCATCACAAGCCTTTGCTGGTTTGTAGACTGCCATTCAAAACGTTGAAATCTGACGGCTATATTCACATCGTGTCATTCATAATATAAGTTATAAACCTCTCGACAAACGCTACGGATATTTGTATTGACAAAACATGCCATTTAAAATAATGAATTGTGTTAGCACTGGCTTACGAGTAAATGTGAGATGCCTTGTTTGCTCTGATCTGCTCTCTGGCGGCGAGTACTGCGATCACGAGGCAGGCGAGGCCGCGCCTTGAAGTAAGGGAGGGGGAGTAACATCATCAATCCTTCTATATATGTGGCTTTGTAACATCTGCTTCGGATCCTCCCTGCCCGGCGCGTGGCCCAGTGAAGAAGATGCGCGCGCAGCTTCAAGTCCCTGTGAAGATTTCCTAGCTGGGGTTGCGCAGTGGGTGCAATATTTTCGTTCAAGTGACTTATGATTCACCGTAATTTTAATTATCAATATTCATTAAATTCTCATTCTTGCTTACTAGCAGTGCTGGAGTTGAATGCTTGCCACTGGGCAATATAAACAAACGTTATCAATCCGACCTACACAGTAATAAAATTTCCGCACACTGCATCTTTCATTGACATTAATGTTTAGATTATTAAGAGAAGGTAAAATTTGTTTGTTTGTTTTTTGTTTCATGAAATGCCTCTCTGTGGTGGTCTAGAAGGTACTACAACAATGCATTTGAAGGTGGTTAAAATTTCACCTGATCCTCCTCCAATATTTGACCACCTAGTTCCAATTTTCACTGTGGACAGAAACAGTTTCCGGGAGCAACAGTGGGATTTGACAACTCAGCAGGTATGCCTTTTGGTCTCTTAATTGTAAAATGAATTGAAAAGGTCTTTTGGCGTGCCAATAAGATTATTAACAAATTAAAAACATTTTATTAGGAAGTATGAACTTTACATCATAATCGTAATACCAGGTGTTTTATTTATCTTTCGCCGAAGATGACTTGCCGCTTGCCTCAGCGATCGAACCGTTGCACAGTGATTGATTTCCGGAATCTAGCGGTATTGATATCAAAAATGCATATGCTCGAAACGAATGAAAATCTACGTGGGCGGTTTCCTAATAGTCTTGCAAGGACTGTACCAGTCCCCATAAGTGCAACATTCATTTCTCAGAAGAATGGGGGGTACGTTCAACGAGCGCTTCTGAGCCGCACGCGCAGCCGTGCCAAATCCTGCTTTGAGGCGCTTGGTGTTATTGCCCACTGCCACTGAATTGTTAAGAATAACTTGATTGTTCGATATGGACAAGAATCCGGAAGGTATGTACTTTAGAATGCACTAACGTTTAATAGAAAATTTTACATTTTTGTTTGCATTTTATATGCGAAAGTATCGCCATGTATTTGAGCCATGTTTCTTAGTGATCGGAAATTTAAACTGAGTTATATTAAGTTGCCATCAATTGCCAAGAATACTCTTTGCTCAATTGTATTCTCTAATTCTTCTGAAACAAAATGGTGGAAAAACATGTTGCCCGAATTTGCCCCTTTCCGAAAAAATCGATTTTTTCAGGTGCTTGTACAGTCACTCGACCGGAGCATTTCGAGCTCTTGCATGAGGGTGAACTATCTCATGCAACAGATTTACGGAATAGAAAAATGCGAATGCAGTATGTTTCCCGTATTCCAGAGGCAGTATTAAGTGAGAAGACTCGGAGATTCACTTGCCAAATTGCTAACCAATGGAAGGCTTGTAACAGAATGGTAGACAGATTCACAGCAAGGAACCCAGCATGTCTGGGCGGCGAAATGTTGTGTCACCGAAGGAGCGCAGAAAACGACGAAAGATAGACATGAAAAAGAAATATAATGTTCGAAGTGAACAAAAAGGCGAAAAGTACAGCGAGATTTTACAGACCCATGAAATTCGAATTTGTGAAGGTGTGACCATATAAGACTAATGCAGAAATAACTCCTTTACAAGAAAAGATTACGAAACTTCAATCAACAAAATTGAATATTGGGGGTGCATATATCTCTGTATATCACAAATTATTGTAATATATGACGGAAAAGTGTGTAATTCACTGATGTTAAAGCCTTCTCTCAGAAGTTCTTTATTTATGATGCCTCTCCAAAGCAAATGAACAATTTGAAACAAATTAATAAAAAATCTTGCCGTAAGAAAGCGTTTTATGTTGATCTTTCACGCTAAAATTCGTTTCTTCGTGTCTCTTATTCACATTTCTTACAGACTAAATTTTATAAAATGGCGGGTTCGTGGATATGAAGAAAAGATACTTAAGATCCTAGGAAAATGCAAATAATTGTCAAATTTTGAAAGAAAATTTGACTCCTTATGTACATCCTAAAACAAGAAGTGGTACATTGAACGTTGGGGACACTCTTCGGGAATTTTTCCAAAATCTGGAGCAGTATACTAACATCACTTTGATAGATGGAAGTATCATTCGCCGCTTCTCTGCTGTATTACAAGCATTGAGGAGCGGATATGATGTGACTTCGGAAGCTTTCAGAAAAAACGCATATGAAACAACAAACGTTTGTCAGTTTATACGGACGGGTACTTCACGCCTGTAACAGTGCACAAAATATTCATGGCGCTGATGTCATTAATGTCCCAATACGTTGTCCCAATAGGTCAACAGTCGAAGACACGCAGCAAGCCCGACACAAAGACTTCGTCATGTCGAGAAAGAAATATTGGAAAAGCATCCAGAGAATGTGGCAAATGAAGATCTGCTTCATTTTTTATTGATTTCTTCTGACTCGGTAATAACAAACATCCGGCCACAATCAGCTAAGGAAACTGCGCGGCTTCCAACGAAAGTTTTGAAGGAATGTATGTTCCTGGAGGTGATGTGCTACGTGAAGGTAGAATAGCAAATTCAGATAGAGATTAAAGTCTACTATTGTAACTTTTCTTTATTACTCTTAATAATTTTTTATTTGCACTGTAAGGTATGAAATAGAATCAGAATATTTCATTTCGAGTTAGTGTCTCATGAACCTTTAGTAGGAGTAAGCAATTGCATGCAGTGTCTCTTACGTAGTTCCAGCATTGATAACCTGGCAATTGTTATCAAGACTCGAAGGCAGTGAATTTATTATTATATTTTGTCCCCACATTACAAAATAATATAAAATGGCACGAGGAATCATTCGGACCATTTTCAACAGCGTCGGCTTTACCGTTCTCTTAATAACATTTTAATACCCCTAGATGAAGGAAATCCACCACTGTGCGTCGGTTCCCCGGGAACGTGTCAACAAAGGCCCCGTTCATCCGGCTCGTTCGTCGTTCGCTGCGACCGCCCGATACACCAATGCACTGAGAGCGTTAAACTGCATCGTGACATTTTCTTTCAAGCAGAGAACGTTTCTTTACACTTTTCGTTCAACTTAAGTCTTCTGGTAAGTGCCGCAAGAAGTTAATTAAGAAATTTCTGGGCGTATTCCACATCGGTCGACAAGTTTGAAGCTTGTAAACAAACTTCACACCCATGGAATTTTAATTGACCAACAAAAGTGTCGAAAGCGCCATATCCTGACAAGAGAACGTGAAAGTATGCCATGTTACAACAATCTCGAAGAAAATCTTTGAGGCGTCTATTACTTTCAAGAGGATTCGGCAGCTGCTGCTGCTCATTCTGCAACTGCTGCTGTTCGATCCATGAACTTTGAAAATAATGTTTTTAGTGACGATCGAATAATTTGTCGTGGGTTATGGCATTCCGATAATCTGATAAGAATCTGACTCCTTGTGCTTTTTCCTTTGCTACTTGAAAGATCAAGTGAATGCAGAAACCCCGCATTCGGAGAAGATCTCCGTCACTCTATTGAAGAGAAAATCGCAGCATTTCCTCCATACTTACTTCAAAGAGTAAATCAGCACCACTAGAATATTCCAGAAGGACATGACATTCAGCATCATCTTTAAGGTAAGTTAAGCAGCGCAGCGATAGTTGTCGTATGTCAGCACGGGAATTGGGTCAGTGTTTCGCCGGGCGAATGAACCCTCGACTGCCCGGACGAAGCGGCCCGAATCTTTGGGAACGATATAATAAACACGTACTATCAATTTTTTCACAGATGTTTTGATGTTGTTATTCAGTGGTCACTCATGAAAACTGTAGAATTTTCAATATCAATAAGCAACGATTTATGTTTTGTTTGGAGTGTAAACAGGCATCAGAGAATATTGTTGTTGTGTGATGTTTCTGTGTGTTGAGTTCAAACATCGATCTGTAATTTCGAAAATATCAATGATATATACACCACTATACTTTCGTGCGATGATGTTTTTATGCGTTTATACTGACTCAAGCGCGCCTGAATGAAAGCTCTACGCAAGTATTAAGCGCGTCATCGCTCCATATTCTACCCCTACGATTGTGAAGTATCGGCCTGAAGTATTACTTGAAAGTTATCTTGAACATGTAAATCACATTTCTCCAAGACAGTGTAATAGCGAATGCAAGCCAAAACTTGAGGGAGAATGTAATAACAATAGGGTATTTGACGGCCATGACCAAAGGACAGACGAAACCTATTTCCGCGAGGAAATCATTTGCCTATTGAAATGTTTGCAGACTGTAGCGTAAAACGTGATTAAGAATCTCGTGGTCAGTAGCCTGTGAAGTGCAATGCAGTGCAATAGCGAAGCATTGCCAGGCTCACGAACACACACACACACACACACACATATACGTAGGTAAGTCAATAAGTATCTCCAATTTTGTTCTAATTTTCTTTAGGTTGGCTCTATGGGTAAGAATGTTCATCAGCCACTAGGTGGCACCGTTGTCTTTGTCTATGGTACGTTTCAGCGTTATTAGATCAGTCCACCATCAGCGCTGTTACGACGTAAAGATGGTCGCGCCACTCTCTGTTTGCACCAAAGAAGAACAGCGTTTCGTAATCCGTTTTTTGTGGTCTGGAGGTGTTCCAGGAGTGGAAATTCATAGAAGACTCACTGCACAGTACTGGGACAACGCATTGCCGCAGCGAAGTGTGTACCAGTGGATTCAACAGTTCAAAAGCGGTCGAACGAGCGAGAAGGATGAGGAAAGAACCTGACGTCCTGCTGCAGGCGTAAGTGCGTGCATTGATACTCAATAACAGACAAGTTACTGTTGATGAAGTGGCAAACCATATGCACATTAGCAATGGTTCTGCTTATGAAACACAGGCTGAACTTTCATAAATTCTGTTCGAGATGGGTTCCGAAAAAACTCAATGAAGAGCACATGCTCAATCGTGTGAGAATCTGTCTGCACCTATTGGTCATGCTAACGAAGGTAAAAACGTTTCTGCAACGAATCATCACTGGAGATGAAACACGGGCTCATCACTTCCAACCAGAGAGTAAACGGCAGAGCATGGAATGAAAGCATCCAGAATCTCCAGCCAAAAAGAAATTCAAGAGTCAGCCTTCTGCGGGTAAAGTGATGCTCACAGGTTTTTGGGACTCTCAAGGTCTGGAACATTACCAGGAAAAGGGGTCAACAGTAAACAGAACGTTACAATGAAATTCTGTTGAACAAGTTGAAGCCTGCAATTCGCAATAGGCGCAGAAGTCGATTGTCGGTTGAGTTATCTTCTTGCATGATAATGCGCGTCCTCATACTGCCGCCCACACCGTTCAAACTCTTCAGAAGCTGACTTTCGAGGTGTTGGAGCATCCCGCATACATCCCCGATCTCGCCGCATCAGATTACCATCTGTTTGGTCCACTTAAAGATGCTCTAAGAGGCCGTCGATTCTGCTCCGATCAGCAGGTAAAGGAAGTGGTGCATACGCGCAAAAGTTTTTTTTACGAGGG